AAACCATTCAACAAGCTCTCGTTTAACCACAGTCTGCGCACACACACACACACACACACACACACGTATCCATGTATGATCATCAGTGAGTCTCACCGCTGGAAGAGTGTTTGTTCTCCAGCTCTTCGATCGCTGCACTCTTCTTCTGAAGCTCGTTAGTGGCGTCCATTAATTTCTCCCTACAGAGCGAGAACAGTCACACTCTCAAACAGTCATTCTCGCTGAACTGAGTCTCTGTGACTTCCTGCTGATACTCACAGGTGTTCCTGACACTTCCTCTTCATGAGCACCGTCTGCAGCAGCAGAAGAAGCAGAGATGTTAAAGTTCATCCAGCAAACACACTCATTAATGCTCATGTGAAGCACTGCAGCGCCTCCTGCTGGACTCCAGCGGAACACAACCGCCCTACACAGCGTGCACTTCTGAGGGAGCTGGAGAGGGCTGGTGTTAGTGTCCAGCAGGGGACGCCGAAGAGCTCATGCACAATCACACACCAACACAAATCATCAACCAACAGCAGAGCAAATACATGAATAAACAGTGTCCAATGATTCCCATAAACACCACAGGAATAGAGATATGAATGTGATCAGACACCACTGTTCCTTCAGTACAGCTGAGATATTAATAGTTTTGAGTCCGTTTTTTTTTTCTTTTTTGTTTTGTTCTTGTAATTTTTTGTAGTTTTTGTCCGTATAGTTTTTTATTTTAGTTTGAGTTATTTTAGTACATCAAGTTAAACTAAATTAAAACAATAAATGTTGCTTTGGAAACAATATTTAACAATATTATTTATTTTGGAAATAATAGTTTTAAACCTCATTATTGTATCTGTTTTTGAATCTGGTGTTTTCTCCTAACACTCACCCAGCCGTCATTTATTAAAAATACGGAGTATAAAGATCAAAATGGACTCCTAAAAATAAATGATAATGTTCTGCTTCCAATGAGCAAAACTAAATCAGTGAAAATAAAAAAGTAACACTTCCATTCAAAGATGTTCAGTGATTGACAATCACACTCAGGTGTGTTTGAGGATGCAGGAGGATTCAAACACACATCAGATCCGGATCATCTTCACTCAGCATTCAACAGTAAAGCCAGCAGAAACACGTCCAGTGATCAGTGCATCATGCTCTGCTTCATCAGCTCACAGAGAGCCAGCAGCAGCAGCAGCCGTGACACACGCGTGTGCTTTGAGCGGTGCATGCGATCACAGAGCTGCATGATGCCTGACTGTACTCACAGCAGACGGAGACAGATTCGATGCACAGACAGAAGAGAGCAGAGCCTGTTACCAACCACACACAGACAGATGACGCTCAGACTAAAGTAACGGACACACACGTGTGCTTCTGATGATGATGAAGGCGTCTGGACGACCGATGGCACACCTGGATCATGCTACATCATGAGTGCATCACACAAACAGGTTAGGAAGGACACGCAGCAGAGCGTTAGCGCAGAGGAGCAAAGATGAGAGCATTCGTAAAGCTGAAATGTTAACATGACGGTGCGAGAAGAGCTTGTGTCACAATCTGATGCAGAACAGATGCTACGACCACACGTGAGTGCTGGGGAAACCTGTCGCTCACGTTTGGACAAACAGACAGGCCTGTAAACAGTGAGACGTTCAGAAGATCTGCTGCAGCTCTGGATGATCGAGACGCTTCATTAGGAGACTTTATCTCTGGATGTTTTTGCACAGGATGAACATCTAGATCTTCTACCTTTCAATCTACATTATAAGTGAAACTGATTCCACACATTAATTAAATGTTATCGAATCACATATCGCCACCGGGTTTTACTGCACGTCACATTTTGTCTGTATTTGGATCCGACGCTAGAATAACGATCTAATTCCAAAACGATTCTTCATCTACAGTTCACAGACTTTGAATATCATTTTTGTTAAATTACCTAAATAACTGTAAGAAGTTTTTTTAATAATTACAAATAACTAATCAAAACAACCGTTTAAGTTTTGTCCAGTCCTTCAGACGTAACTGACTGTGTTTACATTCATTTCACATCATAAATGCATTTAGAGATGCGAGTGCATTTAAACAAGCCAAACGTAAGCTCTGAAAACTTCACAATCGTCTCAGAATTGGTGAAGACATGGCTTTTTTTCCCCACCCCTGATTATGAGCCGCTCAGGTTTGTACGACTCCTCTCGTTTGTGAATATCTGCTGCTTTGGCCTGTTGAGTAATTATTGTGTTGGCAGAGTGGAAATAATCTATATCTGGTCAGACAGTGTGTGGATACGAGTTTGTCTTTCTCAACTGCAGAGATGAGCTGTGATCTCGTACTCACGGCCTCCTCACATTCAGATCAACAGCACCACTACTGTATTTCTACTGATGTGCTGAACTGTTGGACTCACATCTTCTGCTTTGGATCCGTGTTCCTGAAGAGACTTCTGCAGCTCCTCCACCTGAGACTGACCCTCCAGCAGCCTCTGATTCACCAGCCTAACACACACACACACACACACACACACGGGTTCAGGTCATTCACATGTGGACCTCCACGCTCTAGTCGGTCTCAGCACAATAAACCCACATGAATGAATGATGTGCTGTATGCGGCTGAAATGACTGTCAGAGACACTGAGACATACAGAAAATCATCTGTTTATATTAGTGTGTGTGTGAGAGTGTGTGTGTGTGTGTGTGAGTGTGTACTGTGTGTTTCTTTGTGTGTTTCTGTGTTTCAGTGTGAGTGAGCGTGTCTGAGTGAGTGTGTGAGCGTGTGTGTGAGCGTGTGTGTGTGTGAGTGTGTACTGTGTGTTTCTTTGTGTGTTTCTGTGTTTCAGTGTGAGTGAGCGTGTCTGAGTGAGTGTGTGAGCGAGTGTGTGAGCATGGGTGTGAGCGTGTGTGTGAGCGTGTGTATGTGAGCGTGTATGCGTGTGAGTGTGAGCGTGTGTGTGAGTGTGTGTATGTGAGCGTGTATGCGTGTGAGTGTGAGCGTGTGTGCGTGTGAGTGTGAGCGTGTGTATGTTTCTGTGTGTGAGTCTGTGTGTGTGAGTGAGTGAGTGTGTGTCTGTGTGTGTGAGATGAGTCTGTGTGTGTGAGTCTGTCTGTGTGAGTCTGTGTGTGTGTGAGTGAGTCTGTGTGTGTGTGTGAGTGAGTCTGTGTGTGTGTGTGTGTGTGTGTGTGTGAGTGTGTCTGT